ACTATAAGACAAGATTCCGGTGACACGCACCGAGCAGCATTTCAACATGCCACAAATAACGCAAAATATTTCCGGGCAGTATTTCGGTACGTCATAAATAAATCACAATAAATTACGAGTAACAGTTCAACAAAGAGGAAATAATTGAAAAATTAAAGAAATTTACTAATTTAAAAATATTAAAATTTGTAGAAGACATGTATGTACCATTGTTATACTAGATAGTCAGTATACTATTTCAACCTCCATTGGATCATTAGCCCCGTGTTGTTGGGTTTTCAGGTTACACACAAACTTATACAATATTAACAAATTAACTAACATTTACTTAGAACATAATTAACATTTTTTCAACCATAATGAAATAACATTTTTTGGCAAAAAATAATGACATTATCCCATAATACTTATGTGTTTCTCAACTCTTACGTAATGAATAAAATAAATTTAAATGCAATATAAAGTGCTAATTGTCATGACATTTGCAATGAAAAAAATACATTCGCAGCTATAAGAAATTTTAGATGAGGAAGGGGGTATAGATATCGCTTCCGTCCCAAGTTCTCCTTCGACAGTTTAGGCCTTCTTAACAAAATTATATGAGGGCCGTTCGAAATATTAATATTGACAAATTAATTGCTCATGATTTTTCTGAACTAACGGACCAATATATTTAAGTATGCCACAATCAAACTATTTAAGAATTTGATAATAATGAAAATATGGAATTAAGAAAATGGATGAAAGGGGGGTGGTTAATTTGTAAATAGCAAGTTTATGGTGGTCCCTATGTACAATTTATTATTTATTTATTTAATAAAAAAAAGCATTCAATATTACTCTAATTAAAATTGTTTTCTCAAATAAAATAATAATCACTTGCTTTTAAGCTATATACACCCACACAAAATCAAAATTTCTATGGAATTCATATGCATGTAAATCAACTTTTATCCTGAAAAACACCACAAATGGATGCTAGGTAAATTCTGTATATATTGGTAAAGTTTTCATGAAAACAAGTACATATCATCAAGAATCATATAGTTATAAGTATACGGTGGAATTCCACTAATGCTTAAAGAATAAATTGACAAATTAAGCACATAGAGAAAATAAAATAAAAAGAATGGTAGCAACTGACAAACTTACCCCAATTAGCGAAAAATTATTGCATACGGACACCACATGTAGAGATGCATGTGGTGTCCGATCTACACCGTAGATCACGGTGATCTACGATGAGAATGCAATCAAATTTTAAAAAATAAAAAAAATAAAAAAATTTTAAGTGGGGCCCACCAAAACACATCCGCAGCTAAAACGAAAGGTACTTCTTTGCGGTAGAGGAAGTGGGGCCCACCAAAACACATCCTCACAGTAGATAACCGCATGCAATAATTTTTACTTTGCAGACAGAAGTTAAACATTTCTCTGCCGCAGCTAAAACGAAAGGTACTTCTTTGCGGTAGATTCAAGGACTTTCAGTTGATTCATGAAATTAAGTATTTCTTTGCCAAAAAGTAGGACCACACAACAAAAAGAATAAAAATAATGATAGCAAATGCAAGCTTAGCTTGTTGGTTGAAAGCTTAATCTTTCAATCAAAAGGTCCTGATTTCAAGATTTTCCATATGCTGGCTGCATCTATTTACTTATCATAATCAACAGACATAGAAGTTAAAATACTTCTCTGCCGCAACTAAAAAACAAGTATACAGGGAAAAAAAAGGTCAGAAATTTTGTCATATTGATCAGTGAAACCACATCAAAAGATAAATCCAGTTTGCAAAAAAAAAAAAAAAAAAAAAAAAAAAAAAAAAACTTAAGTTGGATGCCAATAAATGAGCCCTATAAATTATGCAAAGATTAAACACAGGAGCACAAAAGCCAACCTCCACACAAGCACTGGTTGCACTGCTTACAGTCTCATCAAGGTAAGGAAAATAAGAATTGACGGTACCTTGAATCGGTTCGTGGCGTCAAAATTAGGTGAGACGAAGAACAACTCCTGTGCTGCCGCATCTATCTTCAAATTTATACAATTATTTTAGCTGTAAGAACTTCAAAATATCATCTGGGCGAGCCTTCGTTGCCGCCAGCATTGTTCCACATCAAACTACCACACCTGCATTTGTATGATGACTGAGAAATAGGATCAGTTTCTCTGGTTAACCAAGGGTGTAGAGCTGCGGATTCCAGTGTCATTCTTTGATTTGGATCTGAGGATCATGAACTCAAAGGTTCAATAAGTAGAAGTATGAGAATTTTGAGATGAGTGTTATTTTATTGGGGGATTTACATAGACTTGAAACAATTATTATGTATTTATATATCAAATGTCTAAACTTTGCTACTTAGCACTGAGTCACAATTAAAACATAATATATGCATGAAAATGTGTATTTCACTTTAAAAGAGTTAATATTAGTGGTACTTTTGTTGTGATGCTAAAAATTTAGATGTTATATTAATAAATATAAAAGTTTAGGTGTCAGATATGTAAATACATATGAATTGTTTAGCTTGGATATAAATCCCCCTATTTTACTTTACTAAAGGCTTATTCGGTGCACTTTATATACACAATATTGAGAATGATGATTTCACTTCCAGAAAAAAGTCATTACACTTGACAGGGCTCCAAAAGGGTTTCTTAAGGTTAAAAGTAATGTATATTTCCAACAAAATCCAAACAAATGATAGAACTATTATGTTTCAAGTATTTTCAAAACATATTTTGAACTTCAAAATGTGCCCAAAATAAAAATTTTCTAATTGCTGCAATTAGAGGTGCAGGGAGCTGGATAGTTTCTGAGAAAGTGTTGAATTCTGCCATTTTAGTCCCAGAGTCTATCCAAATGTCAATTTGATCCCGTCTTCTCGATATACACTGAAATAGTCCCCACGAATGACTATTTCAACATAGAAATAAAAAAAATCTGAGACTAATTTGGCACTTTCATAAACTATAGAACTAAAACAACACCATATAAACAGTTACCGGACTACTTTGGCATTTTAATGTTTCTGTTCAATAATCTCTGATTTCAAAGTGCCTGCTGCTTTGAATTTCAGTAGGGGAAAGAATAACAGTAAGGGAATAGAACATTTACTGACCCTTACAAAGAAGTCCATGAAGTAACTCCTCTAGTTCAGGATCTAAATCTTCGGAAATATGTAAAGGACTATTGACTATCTGTAATCAAGAAAAAAATGATGAGAGAACTGATTCAGCGTTAAGGATAGCAGGCAGCCAAAAAGAATAGCCTTGAGGAAGGCTCAGATTACCTTGTCATAAGTCTCCTGTAAGCTCTCTCCAATAAATGGGCAATGACCAAAAATCATGCAGAACAACGTAACACCTACAGCCCACACATCAGCTGTTTTGCCATGGTAGTTTAAACCTATCACCCAAAAAAATAAATAAATAAATAAAACACATTTTTCAATGGAAATTAATGGGTAGGCTGGCATCACTTTTGGTTTTTGTATTTTATTTTTTATTTTTATTTTACTTGAAAAAAAATATGTTGTTATATTACAAATGTTTAATTTTTTTCAAAATTGTCGACATAATTTATTGGTGTTTTGAATACTTGTAACAAGTTGATTTATTTTTAAAAAATACAAAATAAAAACATAAAACAATGCACGAAACAAATATGTTTTCGAAATAAAAATAAAAACTAAAACTAAATACAAAATAAAGGTGATCTCAAACAAGCCCTAAAATACTATCACTTAATACAATTATGATTCTCAAATAATTAAAACTTCTGTCCGCTACTTGTCTTACCAATACAACATTCAGGTGCGGTGAAAACAGGTGTCCCGGGAGATCTCCAGAGTAAATCATTATCATCCTACATGAGAATATAACTGAAAATTTGCTTAAGAGAAGAGTTAAAAAATAATAAATACGCACTTTAGAACAGAAAATTTAAGGGAAATATTTCATTAGTTCAAGAAGTTCCATAACCCAAAGCTAATTTTTAGGAGGTGTTTGACCCGACGGCAGGCTCACAGTGCATACCCAGAATGCGCCGTCGGTCTGTTTGGTCGGTGCATCACAAACACAGGAGTAAAATTGCGGCACCTGACCATCCAAGGTGATCTGCGGCAGGCTGCATTCCACGGTTCAAACAATTTTTTATTTCGATTTTTACCCCATTTTTTTACAACATTTCCTCGCAATATCCTCGATAAAGGATTAATTAGGGCATTGTCATATTGTTTTTGGCTACAATCTTCTCTGCATAGGTTGGGATTGTTCTCAGTGGTCGCTTCATTTTTTCTCACTCAACTGATGAGATGCCCAAACCTCTAACCTATCTCTATCTCTCTCACCTTCTCTCTACTTTATTACCATGATTTCATCTGAATAGTTTCAGTTTAGAATTTTCTGACGAATATTGGTTGCAGTTCAATGGTTTTCTCTAATATTTTATATTTTTTAGCCGTTGCGTCTCCTCGGTTGTTCATTTCTAGTTTTCTTGAGCATTTTTTATGTTACCTAAAATTCAAAGAAGGGGAGAATGATGTTCGATTTGGATTATCTTTTAGTTATTTATTTCTCTTTTCATGATCATGGTATGATCATCTTGTAATTGTCAGCACTAAAAAGTAAGAAAGAAATGTTGTTTGGGGGGTCGCCCGTAAGAAGCTGTCGGCAGCCGGAATTGAAATCCCATCGCCCGCTTCGGAAGGACGTTTTAATTTACGTGTGTGTATATATATATATATATATATATGATTT